ATGACACGCCCGCATATAAAATTGCCACACAAAAAAGGCGATATTTTATTATGTAAACTGTGCGAGATTTGAGGAAAATAAATTATGAAAAGTTTAATCAATGATTGTATAACGAAACCTTCGACTTCTTTAATCTTATTATTTTATTATTAAATTGTTTTATTTTATACAGCTAATAATTAATATTATTAATATTATTTGGCTATGAGGTAACACAGTCAGCTTTCGGTTTACTTCTTCATCTACGCACAACTTTTAATAATGATCATATATTCGATTAGAGCAATTTCCACAAATGTGAAATAACATTAATCACAGTGACAGCAACAATTCACCTTTCCCTCCGTTTGTTAAGCTTAGAAGCCCTTCTTGATTTCCATTGTAAATAATAGATGGAAGTTCAATTGTAATTACTAAAAGAAGCCTATCGCAATTCTGATTAGAATTATTTAGCAAGCAATTCTAGCTACATTACACTTAATTAATTCCATAAAAAATGAATAGTTTTTTTTCTATTGATTGGGTTAAGGGATGACAATGGCAACGACTGTTGCTCGGCGCTAGACGCGCAGATGACGCCATGTCGCTGGCATGTGGTTTACGGGACTCATAAAACCGCAAAAACCGCTGAGTAACTCAATAAAAGGCTTAAAACACGCAGGAGGGGGTTTCTGGAATATGCTACAGTTGCCGAGTGCAACAATTGAAATGAAAGGCAGAGCAAGTGCTAGAGAAAGGTTAGGCGAAAGTGAGAGAAAGCTGGCATAAAGCGCACACTTAGCAGACACCACAAATGCGCCCACACTCACACACACACACACATACTCACACAAGTATACAGCATAGGTCACACAGCACCCAAATAGTCCCACGCCCATTAGCCAAGGCCAAGTTGGGCCAAGTTGGTCAAGATGCTTGCATGCCAATGGCCAATAAGTCGAGCTCGCACGCAAAAACCAAAACAAAAGCCGAATAAAAATTAGAGTAACTCGCAACAATTTTCTTCAGCTTTGCCTTCTGTTTTTGAAAATGGAAAGTGTACAAAAAGGTTAAAAGTGTGTTTAACACACAGACTGTGAGTGTGTATGTGACTTTCTAAATTTGTTTGAATTCAGTTCGTGGCCGCTAACTAAATTAGAGCAGTCGCCAATCGCAGGCAAGGGTCAGCAGCAGCAGCAGCAGCGGCGGCGGCGGCGGCGTCGGATGTGGATGTGGCCGGATGTGGCTAGGCAAAGGCGGAGGGCTGTGAAAGCACTGGGCGTGTGCTGATGGCAAAACGAAACACACGACCAAAGGCACTGACTTAAGTGTTGAGGCTAGCGCTGACGCATTTCCAGTCAAGACCAAGACAGAGCAACAACAACAACAACAACAGCAACAACAATAGGAATAACAGCGCACACACTTAAATTTATATAAATGCACTTGACTTGTGAAATGTTTGCAGCCAACAAGAAAAAACAAAATTGCGCCATAAATTTAGTCAACGTCGACAATGGCGGCCCTTAAAAGTCGGCAATAAATGTTCTCTATTTGCCGAACAACACTGACACGCTTTTCCATTGTTTCAGCTGCATATTTGCATTTCGTTTGTTGTCGTTGTTGTTGTTGTTTTCGTTTTCGGTTTCGTTTTTGTTTTCGTTTTCATTGCACCAGGCATCTGAGGCCCCTTAGCTATGCAAATGCTTGAGGCGCTGCTTCTCACAGCTAAGTGGAATTTTGGCTCGTGTAGCATTTATCATTTTGTTTATGTCCTGCACTCAAAGGCTAAGCAATGCGTTGCCTTAGCTTATAAATACAATTGTATGAAATGGTTTGAGGTGGCTTGAGAGGGGTTGGTTGGGCGGTTTGTTAGGGAGCCCATAAAGTGCACATTTACACAACTATTTTTTGTAAAATATGCATTTACTTAAAACACTTCACAGACGACTGTTACTTATAAGCCCAATGTACATCCAGTCCATTTCCATTAGCACAGCTTTTATTTAAATATGGTCAATATCTATATTCTATAGGACCTTTTATCTAACTTCTTAAAAAAGTACACTACAAAATGGGGGTTTAAAATGTTTTTTCATTTCTTCACATTTCACATTTTTATCAACCTGAAATTATTATTCTCTGAAATATTAAACTAGTTTAGTGCTAGCCTCTTATATTGCCTTCTTTGGCTAATTGCTTGTTTTGGGTGTGTGAATGTGTGTGTGTGTGTGTGTGTGTGTGCGTGTGTGCCTGCTTGGCCATTTTCAATTAGTGTCCAAGTCAAAGAAATCATTAATCACACACCCCCGCAACGCAACAAATTTCCGCTGTGTCATCCAAACTGGCTAAGCGTAAAATTGCTAAGCAGCTTTTTAATAGCTGTCCATACGGGGTTATTTGAAGAAATAGCTGTTGTTGTTGCTATTGTTGCCGTTGCTGGGATAGCTCCATTAGGGATGTGTCCAAGAAATGACCCTGACCGCAACCTGAGACAGTGTCTACACACACACACACACACACTCACATGTATATGCACATCAGAAGACTCTCTGGGGGGCGTTATCAAACTATTTATGGGCAATTAAGTGTTCATTTTGTAATTGTGCATACGTGTAGGCAAATTATGTCTAAGATTTATGAGCCCATGTGCCGCGTGTCTGCGCGTGTGTGTGTGAGTGTGCGCTGTCATAAATTCCAACGCCATTTACTCACATTTTACGACAAGAACCGAGCTGTCAAATGAAATTACACAACGTGCAACGTGCGAGAAATGCGAGTGGAAGGTCTCGCCTTATTATAACATGAAATTAATTACAATTTAACTTTTACTTTGCCATCAGCCATGGCGATGGACGTTTTGAAGGCAATTCAACAGGTATCAAGGTGAAGTTCCACTTGCCACTTGACGTAAGACTCACACAATTCACACGCTCAAGTGGCGGGCGAGAGGCAAACGTGTTGCATGTGGCAACACGACCAGCGAACGCAGCACGATTTCCATGCAGTTTATTTTCATTTTGCGCCACAAATAATTGCATAAAGTTACAACACACGCGACCAAAAACAACAATCTAAATGCAAGAAACGCCAACAATGTTGTCAAAAATGCGCGCGCTTTGTCATTACCATTTTGTAATAAGCGACCCGCTCTCATAAATAACAATTTAACCGGACTAAACTCAAGCAAAACTATATTATTTACCATATTTACGTACATATAACATTAATTTTGTCCTTGCACGCCAGCCATGTGTGCTAAATTCAAATGAAATGCTCACAAATGTGACAGGCGCCTTGGGCATCACTGAATCAAATGCGAGCAGTGAAAACATGCAATTCTTTAATCAGGCTTATAAAATACACTACTTTTCAAATTAATGATTCTATATAGGGTATGAAAGATATGCTCAAATGTAAGATATTCAAAGAGTTACAGAAATAAAAAGACTAATTTGTATATCAGCAGTTGAGGATTAAAATGTAAAGCTTAAAGCTAAAAGGTAATATATTCTTATTTCAATTTTAGTCTAAGTCTTGGTAGCTTAAAAGTTGAACATATAATGTAACCTGTTATTTTCTTAATGCAGTTTTCTTTTGACAAAACCTATTAAAGATCTACCATGATCTCGCCTTTCAATGTATATAAGCCAAGGCTTCGACGATCCTCATTTTAAAATTGGGAAATTAAATTTCACCAAAAAATGCTTCAGAGACCTATCCGTTATATAAATATTAGTTGAGCTCGCTTATTAAATAATATATGAAATATAAATTTAATACACTAAGACCAGTCGGGAAATGTGGCTTACACTCATCGATTTCGTAAGCATTTTTGGTAACTTTTCAAATTTCTTATGACACGTTTGATTAACTGCAGCTCCCACACGACTAACCCAAAATGGTCGAAATAAGCTAAAAAGCAGTCAAGGTCAATGCGGCATGGTTTTTATCTAGAGTTTTGAGCAGTTTAATTAACATTTTATGGTCAATTGTTGGGGTGCATAACTTGCAAAAACGCAGCCCTTACGCTTATTACAATGCATTTCCGTTTGGCATAAAAATTCAAATTTGATTGCAATGCGGCAGAAAATGCGATTTAGGCATAAGCCAGGCCAAAAACAATTGAAACATTCGCATTTGCCCAACCCAAAATAGCCAGCATATATTTTCCAGGCCAGCACACTTGTGTTTGTGAGTGCGCGTGTGTGTGCGTGTGTGTGTGCGTGCGTGGTGTGTGTTTGCAAATGTGAAGCTTGACGTTTGCTTTGGCGGCATTTAAATGCAAAATTTGTGCACAGCCTTCGGCGTTTGTAAATTAACCATAATAAATAAGAGACCACAGCGCTGGCCTCGTTACCAATGGCCAAAACGACGTGTGTTTCTGATTTTTTCGCATGTAGGTGAAAAGCTGTTAACTAAAGGCGCTGTCCAAACTCACATTTTAGGCACTCTGCGCTCGACTCTGTTCCCTTTTGAATATTTATATTAATAAAATTAATATTAATTCTCTCTGCTGTGGCACTTTGTGCTTTACACCTAGGCCTGCATATCATAATCAATACCTGATCGCATAAATAGTACGTTTTTATATGAAAAATATAGGTAAATGGCAAGTGGAAACAGTTCGCTTACTAGCGAGATCCCATTGAGGAATTCTTTTTAACTCTTGTCATTTTAGTCGCCTCGTACGACAAGCTATGACCAGCTGTGGTGGTATTCTACATGCCGCGCACCACACAGCTTTTATCGTATCGAAGTGTTTTTGTGTGTGTGTGTGCAATTCTACTATAATAAAAACAGGCTGGGCCGCCCCAAAAAGTATGCTTTAAAAATTGCACTGCGTCGCTTATCGTCGCTTATCTTATCAGCTGTCAAATGATGTTGATTTAGTAGAGAATCGGCCTGGAAATTATGGGTTTTAACCAAAGACAACAATACATATTGAACTGGCCTATCAGTCAAATCGTAACTGTATTATAATTTATTTGCTGATCGGTTTTTTGTATTTCTAATTTCAGCTATCTACAAACAAAAACACATTGCATATTAGAGCCCCACAAAATGCTGCCAATTATCGCCTAAGCCAGCCGCAGTTCGAATCAAAATCCAATTAAGCCCAAAACCTAGAAATAAACTGTGATCATAGCCTAAACACGCAACAAATACAACTACAGTAACAACAACAACAACAACGACCAGCAACCAGCATATAAAAACAACGCCATACAAAGACATGAAGGAAAGCTGCCAGCAACTCACACAGAGCCACAGCCAGGAGCAGTCGAAGCCAAAGCTGACTCTTAGCCAGAAACAGAGCCAAAGACAAAGCCAGAGCCAGTTACAGACCGTATCTGGTGCCCAATTGCTGAATTTATAGATCTCCAGATATTGAAAATTGAAATCAATTGCGCACAAGCAGCAGCAAATAGGCAAAAGGAAGCCAATTAAGTCAAAGGACTCAGACAGAAGAACGGCGGAACGACGGTGGTGGCTGTAATGACAACAATTGACGCGATGTAGCGGTAAGTAGAGGAGAGACAGAGCGTCAAGTGAAGTCAATAAATCTTAAATCTGTTATCTAATATCGGTTATCTATCTTGTGGCAATCGCCATCTGCAGCAGACTTATGGTCGGCGAACGCGACAGGGACCGTGAGGCGGTACGCTGGGCAACGGGTGAAACAACACCGCTTCAAAACAATAATGGAGTGTTACAAATGGTCGGGCAATTGCATGGTGGACAGGCTGCTGGCCAACAACAGCAACAGCAACAACAACAGCAACAGCAACAGCAACAACTGCAACAACAACAGTCAAAGCAACAGCAACAGAAACTTCAACAGAAACAGCTACCACAACATCCGGAACTGTTTTATCAGCAACACGAGACAGCTGCGCGTGGACTGCAACTTGCGGGCGCAGCCGACGGCGGCGATAATCAGCCCTATTACGATACAAGCGGTAATGTCGATTGGGAGAGAGCGATGGGAACCGGTGGAGCTAGTTCATATGGTTGCCTCGGTGGAACTGTCACAGCAGCTGGCGGCGCTGCTTATAACGGTGGCGCAGCTGCTGCCGGCGGCGCTGTTATCCTCAACAATCGCCACATGGATTATGCTGATGGCGTCGGCATTGCTGGCCCATCCGCCGCAGCAGCAGCAACGCACACAACAGCTGCTGCACTCGGCCTGGGAGCTGCTGCTGGAGGCAGCCTCGGCAGCGGAGCGACGCAGATCGCAGGTACCGCTGCCGCTGCCGGTAGCAGCACCGGGGCCATTGGCAAGGAAGTTCGTTACGCTCCATTCCCAGTTACATCACCAACGCATTCAAATCCCACAACTTCCCAGCAGACTCTTGCGCTGCAGCAGCAGCAGCAGCAGCAGCAAATGGCACTCAGTGGTGGGGCAGGCGGTGGTGGGGGAGCCGGCAGCGGCATTGGTGGTGGCAGCATTGGCGGCCCCACTGGCAGCCTCGGCGGCGGGATCGGGGGTGCTAGCGGTGTGGGTGGTGTTGGCGTTGGTGTCGGAGTTGTTATGCTGCCGCCCGGTGCCGGCTCAAATGCTGGCATTAGCCATAGCAATACAACTGGCGCATTGCAGCGGACACATTCCAGATCCATGTCCTCCATACCGCCGCCGGAGCCGTTCATGATAGCACAATCGAGGCAAATGAACAGCCGCGTCTCCATCAATGTGGGCGGTGTGAAGCATGAGGTGCTGTGGCGCACATTGGAACGCCTGCCGCACACGCGGCTGGGCAGGCTGAGGGAGTGTACCACCCATGAGGCCATCATAGAGCTGTGCGATGATTACTCGCTGGTCGACAACGAGTATTTCTTTGATCGTCATCCGAAGAGCTTCAGCTCGATATTAAATTTCTATCGCACCGGGAAACTGCACATTGTGGATGAAATGTGCGTGCTTGCGTTTAGTGATGATCTGGAGTATTGGGGCGTTGACGAACTGTATCTGGAGTCGTGTTGCCAGCACAAATACCATCAGCGCAAGGAGAACGTCCACGAGGAGATGCGCAAGGAGGCCGAATCGCTGCGGCAACGGGACGAGGAGGAGTTCGGCGAAGGTAAATGCGCTGAATACCAAAAGTATCTCTGGGAGCTGCTCGAAAAGCCCAACACCAGCTTCGCGGCTCGGGTAAGTCCAATCAGTTGCCAGTTCAACTCAAGCTCCTTATCCTAAATGTGTGTTTACCTAACATCATAACTATATATCCGTATCCGTAATCCGTATGTGTCAATGTCAAGTGTCCAGCGTAAGCAAAAGATAAAAAATCCAAAGTTAATAATAATAAATAAAGTTCCTTTTCTCCTACATTAATATCTCGTATTTCTAAGTTCCCGTTTCAGTTACAGTTTTGTCGAACTTCTTTTGTTTCAATTTATATCGTTTATATTTTTATTTTTTTTTTTCGGTGCCAGTTTTAGTTCCGTAATTTGGAATATTATTTTTACACTATTGTATTACATTTAGCGCGGCAATTGCAGCACTCTGTAATATAAATTTCACTGCCAAGCAAAACGAAAATAGTGTAAAAATAACAAGAAAATTCCCCTTCAAACAAAATGCTGTACCATATATTGCCTATATATATCACAACCACTATCTATATATATATGTGTACATATGTTAAGACTAGAAGATAAGAAGCCGCCAATTGCCGATATGCTTTGCGTTTGAAAATTTACTGAGCTTTTTTGAGAAATATTTAAACATCTCAGTTACGCAGTGTTCAATTTATCGATATATACCTATCGATAAAAATTGCTTCATTTGTTATTTAACTTTGCTGCTCCTCCCGCTGCCGCCGCTGTACATAAATCAGACCGAGATTGGCGCCAAACTGCTCTGCGAGATTAAAGCAAATTTATTATTGAATAACCCCAGTTCAATGTTGTGCCTGTGACACTGTATAAAACTTACATACAATATATGCAAAAAAAAATGTATATATATATATATAAAGTATATGTATTAATATACTTCAGTATCGTTCTTGTTTATCAACTTATGTCAAGTATCTCAGCTCATAAGTTCGTTCAGTGTATTCGATTGCTTTTGTGTTGTGCCTAATACAGCGTCACATTCAAGGGCAGCTAACAAAGTACTTGGAACAGGACCTACTCGTACAGGACTGCCATTCAGTTCAGGCTCTCGTATTTCTCATCTTGTTCATCATCTTGTTCTTGCTCTTAACAGTTTGGCGGCTGTTAGTACGCCACATGAGGACTCGCGCTGAGAGTGTGCCGTACTTTGTGTTTTATTGTTAATATATAATTTTGCGTTACACTTCACTTATAATTCCCCCCTCCACCGTTTAGTCTCTTTATAGTATAATTCATAGATTATATTTGTTTTGTTTCGTATTTGGTCTTAAGTATTTGTCACTAACCACGCGACGCCGTGACATCGACACCGAGTTTGTCGCTAGAGTTGATCAACATTTACATAATATTTAATTAGCAATCGCACAAAAAGTGCAAAATGGAAAAGACAACAAAATTATTTACTAATCCTTTTCTAATCTAACTTTTTTTGATCACACACAGTATATGATAAAATTTACATACATATATTTATAAATTTATAAAAACTTATGCTATATATATTATACATTTTAATCTCTTAATTGTTGATGATGATGGTGAAGTAATCTCTCTCTATTTATCTCTAATATCTTCTTAATCCCAAACAAACAAACCCCTGTAACAATGTTTGGGAATGGGCAATAAGCGATATGACCAGGCGGCAGGTGTGCTGTAGAAATCCTCGAAAATATTGTAAAGAGAAAGGACTCTGGGGAGAAGCGGCCAAAGCCGTGTTGTAATACATTTCCATTTTCCATAGAGGGTGCAATTCAGAAATTGATCAATATCAATAACGACCCATTATTAAATAGCTTCTGGCCTGGCAGCACAGCATACGCAAATCTTCATTCGTCCCTCGATGGCGTTTCGCATATGTTGTGCTCTCAATTGCCATGCCCCGTCCCGCCCGCTCTTGTACAATAATAGCCCATGATCAAGACTTTAGCTTTAGCTCACACTCACACATCTATAAATATCTCGCAATATATTCACACACCGTTTGGCTTCAGCTTGTACATAACAGCCGATAATTTGCCAAAGTCCAGATTTCAGTTAGCTTTAGCTTTAACCAATGTCCGAAAATGGAAATAATTACAACATATTTGGGCGCATCTCCAATAATTTTTCATTCGATTATAATTTCCTTTTAATTTACATTACGTATTTTTTTGTTAAGAAAAATTTTAAATTGCTAGGTTTTTAATTTCTTTTTTGTTTTTAGCGAAAGCAAATAACAAATAAATTGTATTGGCTATCAAAAAAAAATCGACATAATTTATAAAACTCGCTTTTATAAATAATTCAGCTGAATGTTCTATTACATTTATTTACTTTAATATAATATTTAATTGAAAATTGAATTTAATACAATTTGTCACAATAGCCAATACAATTAAAGATTTGAAATTAGGAGACAAATATAATTAACACAATTTATGATTTGTTCATTTTACAAAGGTAATGAAAAATTTCCAGAGCTCTTTGCCAGTTGTACTCTTAAACTTTTTATTTTACATTTTTCTTCAACTACTAACAAAGTCAGAAGAGAAAAATAAAAAAAGAAAATAACTTTTTAGTTTTGTATATTTTTAGTTTTTTTTAATACTCCGCCTAAACACATCCTTTTTTATACGAAAAAGATAAATATGAGAACCAAAACAAAAAACAGTAAAGAGTAAAGAGCAGTATTTCGAAATACTCACAAGCTACTCAGTTCTTACCCACGTTGAAAGAGACTAGTCCAATATACCAATACGATAATACCCAAACTGATGGCAAGGAAAACGCGCTCACAAGACACACATTTGCCGTGTACTAAATTAATACAAAACTATCTATATATGAAAATACCAACATACAACAATTTTACACACATTGTTTATAAAATTTGTAAATCCAAAATTCAACTCGATGTTTTTTATTGTGTACCCTTTTGTGTTACCTTTTGTTCCTTTGCAACACGATCTATATATACTTACAATCCATCAATGGTATATATAATCGTACGTTTTCGATATTCGTATTTGATGTCTTGTTGTCTATTGCATACAGAAATTTCCTTAACTCATTGTTGTGTTTAAACGTATCTTATCTTTGACATTGATTGTTGTAACCAATTGATCCATTGGCTTCTTAAACTACTAAGTATCTCCAATCGAACCAGCCTCAAAACCATAATAACATTTAAATTATCTAAAATACATACACACAAACACACACTCACACATATAAATACAACTAACGTCTTTGGTGCTTTTTGAAATAGGATTGAATATATATATACACATATATAAATATGTAGATGTATATAGTTTGATAAATATACATATAACAATATAGAACTTCGATATTCTGCCATTTGCATTCACGCGAAAATTCAAACTCAAATTTTCCTTCAATACCTTTTTAGTTGTCGCTGAAGCCTAACCACAAGATAGAAGAAATATAAAAAATGTATAAACAAATGAATTAGACTTGTAACTTCAACTCACCAAACTTTCTGCATTTGTTGCCTAGTGTATTCGGTTATACTGAAGCCAGTTTGCATCAAATATCTTTTCGTTTTTTTTTTTTCAGTAAATTGAATACCAAAAGCCACAAATAAGCTGACAAGAAACACACCCAACCGTATAAACCAATTGCAAAAAAACCTGATCAAATATTTAGTGAGCTAGTTTTGTATTGCAAGACGGTGCGTTACTTTGGCCCTTGCTCATTTTGTATTCAATTTCACCCCCTTGCACCTGCACACCTGCACACTCGCACTCACACACACCTACACATAAACACGTACACACACACAACCACAAAAACAAATGTAAAGTTTCTGCCCTCATGGCGTATGTGCACTTTCCTAATTAATTCAAAATAAACTTTAAAAATTGAATGTTTTTTCATTTTACCATTCCAATTTTTTACCATGATATATGTACATATATTGTCTTGTATAGTAGATAGTTGTATAGATGGATATCAAATGTCTTGCATATATATTCTTAAGATACTATTACTTATATTTTCTCTCGAACTTTTTAACGCATGTCTTAAATGACCTTCTCAACACATTTTGTTGATTTTTGTCTTTTGATTTTCCTCCTGGTTTTTTGTTGCCACATTTTTTCAGCCCACATTTGTGTTTTGTATCATAAACTCGCCCTGTTTTGTAATTCAAGTGGATTAACCAAAGACTACAGGGAAGTTAATTCAAATTTACGCCTGTAAGATAATATATTTTGTGCTGTTTGTGTGTCTTTTTTTTGTCCTAGAAATCGCTTCTCATTATTCTAATTTTTACCCTTTTGCTTTAGATAAATTGTAGTCTGTTTTTTCCCAGAGGCAACCGCTTATGTAAATCTTATAAATGCTCACCAGTTGGGCACGGGCTGTGCTTCTAGTTGTTGCTTTTTGTTTGTACAAAACCAATATTTTATTTAATTTTAGTTTTACCTACCTATAGTCAGTGTATAGCAAACTAGCCAAATTGCGTCTTCAGGCTGCGCTCAACTTCAGTATGCGTATTGCGATATCATGTTTTACTTTCAACCTACCCCCTAAACAAACCCCCCTTCCCCCTCTCAATCATGACTGAGCAGCAGTGGTAGCAGTTCCAAAATTCGCACAACCCGAACACGTACAATCAGTTTATTGTTTTGAAACATCTCCAATGCATTCTATTCAATCGTAAAAATATATAATTAAACAAAATATAAAGTCAATTGTATGAAAAATTGAATAAAGTCAATTCTTTACATCATGCATACCAAATCATATCAAGTAGTAAGTTGTACCCAGTACTTCCCGCGCCCCCCCCCGATACCTGCCTTAAGTATAAGCCTAAACTCAAATTTAATTAACTTTCCCGAACTTTGATAGTCTACCGAAGACCACTTAAATTGCAATCGATTGTGGCCACAGTGTATATAAGTTCTAGGTCTCTCCCTAACTTTCTCTCTCTCTCGCTCTTTCTTTCTCTTTCTATCTTTCTCTTTGTCCTACAACTCTCCATACTTGTAGTTTAGTATATATCTTTGCCCACTGTACTCATCGTTTTTACGAAACGCTTGAAAGTTGCTAAATGAAAGCACCTTTTTGTCTTATATTTGTTTGAATTCATTCTGTGTTATGATATCTCTTTCGATATATCTTATTTACAATAATTTTCTTTAAATTCATCCGTAATATTCTCAATTCCTTTGGTAATTTATTATATTATGTTTACTTTACGTAATGGTCTCCCCCTAGCCATACCTGTGTATGTTTCCAACAATACTCTTATATATCTATCTAATTACAGTAGCATATCATTTACATAAAACGAACTCAATAATTATCTAGCCTAGCATTCCCAGCCATGAAAAGTGAAAAATCTGTCTAACTAACCCCCCACCCTCCTATCGAACCATGCAAAATTATCTTCATTTACTTGTTAAACTCGTTTTGAGGCTAAAGTAAAGAGAAATGCGTGGTTGCGTACAGTGGCCTACTATGGTAGATCTGGACACAGCTAATTTGTGTCACACACATACACATTACATTACAGCTCACACACACAGACAAACACACGTATACATATATGTATATACATACTTATATACATATGTATGTATATATATTTACAGTCATGCAGCCTCATTTGGATGCGTGTGTGTGTCGCTTGGCGTTGAGGGACACACATATTAAATAAACCATAAAAGCAATTTTCTCAATTGTTTAAAAAGGTTTTCCAATGTTTAATATTGTGTCAGCCGCACTTCCGCCTGCCCTGCCTCAATAGTTCTACTGCCAAGGCAACTGTCAGTGCTCAGCCACACACAAGTAAGACACACACACACTCGCACATAACACACGCATTTACACATAACACAAATGGAATGTAAGGAATTCTGACCTAATGTGGCAATCAAAATTCTTCTTGAGCCCAACTATCTATAGTTATCTATATCCCTCTCTCTCTCTCTCTCTATTCTCTCTCTCTCTCTCTCTCTCTCTCTCTCTCTCTCTCTCTCTCTCTCTCTCTTAATTTCCCTATTTCTCGCTCTTTCTCCCTTCTTTCATGCGATATACTATTTTGTGGCATTGATATTGAAACTGCACTTGTTACTGTCAAAACATTTTGACATTTGGCCACTTCAAAATGCAAAATAGATAAACTGCCGCCCTGTTGACCCCCCCCTTGACCCCTATAGAAACAAATTGCAATTTGCTGTTCTTGGTAAATTACATGAAATATTTACAAAAATCAAAAAAACAATCCTTTGTTATTGAAAAATTCTTTATCAGTTTCAATTATTATGCATTTATTTATAAATGACATCAAAATAATTGCAAGCAATTTGACTTATGACAAGAATTATTTTATAAATTCAAATCTATGTATTTTTTCTGCAATTATTTGATTGTTTGATATACATATATAAATTTAGAGAATTTGATTTGATTTGGTTTCAATTACTATAAGTATTCGTAATTTCTAGCTCGTTTGAATCGAAAGTTATTATGCATTCAATTTCTTTGTAAAATGCTAGTACGTACCTTCATTTTGACCTACTATAGCTCCATATACATAATATGTGTACTCGTAATTTCCAATTTTGCTCAGTTTATACTCATCGTTAATATAAAACTCTGATTACCAAAAAAAAAAAAAAAAACAATCAAAACACAGACAGCGAAACGAACAACCACACAATGTAGAACAAAGCGTTTTGTCCATTCATGATTATGAAAAATTGATTATATAAATGTCGACTGCAGACCCGATGGTAGCGTCTCTTATTTAACACAGACCTCCACCCACTCCACCCAACCACTCATAAGTAGTGCCAATCAGAAGCCAAAAGGTCTTTATTCTCTATGCGTAGCTAGTAATTGCGTAAATGTCCTACACTTTTGTATTACGTCATGTCCAACGTCTAACACACAGATACACCTTTACTCACAGACACACACACACACACACACCACACCACTCAAAGCGCTAGCCACTAATACACACAACACACTTTCCAATCATACGACACGCACCCCCACAGATAAACTGTCCACCAGCCACAACCACAATCACAGGCACATTGCCGACAATGAAACACGCCCACATTTGATGAGAAACATGTTTTTTCGATTCCAATTAGACGTTGATTTACTCCTGAGCCCTGATATGGTCTCTCGAAGTACACGAACCTTTCAACAACCACTCAACTTACTAACTCCAAGAACACTAGAGTTCAATTGATTTGAAGGCAACAACATGAGATTACTTTGACTTAAGCCTAAGTTTATATTATTTTTTTGTTGATGTTTGCGTTTATTGTTCAGTTTGTATGTTTAACAAGAGGGATTACAAATGATATACTTCACATAAAGTACAGCAGCCTTTGTATAGTACCAGCAAAGAGAAAAACTATGTTGACCCTGCAAAAAATTCCCCTTACTGAGTCTAACCCATCTCAGATATCAGGCATCAGGCTTCAGGCATCAAGCTTCAGGCATCGGTCATCAGTTATCTAACGATCAACAACAGCTTTGAAACGGTTCTCAGATCACGATTTAAAATCCCACCCAGAAAACTAAACGTTTTGCGCTCAGCTAACCGAATGTTTGCTTCAATCTGTAACATCGTTTAATCGAAAGATTCCAGAAAGAACTTAACAAATATGGAAAAATATGTGACAATGTGAATGAATACGAAATCGAAAATAATTTGCCGATAATGAAATGTCTCGAAGCAAGCGCTGATTGTTGTAACTTTGTGTGTTTGATTAATTAAATAGTTAATATAATCGTTGTGATGTTGTTGTTGATGATAGTTTCGACAAAGTTTCGATTGTTCTTTACCGTTCACAGGTTATCGCAGTGATATCCATACTATTCATAGTCCTGTCTACCATAGCCCTGACGTTGAACACCCTACCACAACTACAACACATTGACAATGGTTCACCACAGGATAATCCGCAATTGGCAATGGTTGAGGCCGTGTGTATCACGTGGTTTACCCTAGAGTACATACTTAGGTTTAGCGCCTCACCGGACAAGTGGAAGTTCTTTAAGGGCGGCCTTAACATAATCGATCTATTGGCAATACTCCCATACTTTGTTTCGTTATTTTTATTGGAAACGAATAAGAATGCAACGGACCAGTTCCAGGATGTGCGCCGGGTGGTGCAAGTATTCCGCATCATGCGCATCCTGCGAATCCTTAAGCTGGCCCGTCACTCAACGGGCCTGCAGTCGTTAGGCTTTACGCTGCGTAACTCATATAAGGAACTCGGTCTACTAATGCTGTTCCTGGCCATGGGCGTTCTCATATTTTCTTCGCTGGCATATTTTGCCGAAAAGGATGAAAAGGACACAAAATTTGTTTCAATACCGGAAACATTTTGGTGGGCGGGTATTACAATGACAACTGTTGGCTACGGGGACATCTATCCCACAACTCCACTGGGAAAGGTTATTGGTACTGTGTGTTGCATATGCGGTGTTCTGGTAATCGCTTTGCCTATTCCCATCATCGTTAACAATTTTGCTGAATTTTATAAGAATCAGATGCGGCGCGAGAAGGCCCTCAAGCGACGCGAGGCGCTCGATCGTGCCAAGCGCGAGGGTAGCATTGTCTCCTTCCATCATATCAATCTAAAAGATGCGTTCGCCAAATCAATGGATCTCATCGATGTGATTGTAGACACAGGTAAGTGCAACGTCGAGCAGAAACCAAATATACAACATTACGTATATGAGAAACTAACTCTCTAAACATCTGCCTGTAACTCTGTTTAGCTGTAACTCTATCGTAGATGTATGCCTCGCTTTGTCAATCAAGCCTTTCGTTCTAAGCTCTATCTTATCTTTAGTTCTTTCACTCGCTGCTTATATATGCACATATATTTATATCTATATACATTTGCTTTGGGTTCTTGTTTTCATATGCTGCATGCCATTTGGCTTTTCATTTTGATTTCTATTTCAATTCATTTGTTTCAACTGTCTAACGAAGGCGTGTAAATAGTTGCGTTAACTAGTCGATTTCTTAAATTATTTATAGACTGCCGTAAGATGATAGAAATTTTCGGGCAATTCAATAAATTAATTGTTAATCTAAGTTAGCTTATGGAATTCGATAAATTGTAAACTTGTTAAGCAAATTGAATTACTTTTAAGTTTCAGTAGCCCTTAGGACTTGCCTTTAATTGACACCTGCAGCCGACTTAAGCCTGAGCGGACACTAAATGCCGCTAACAATAAAGCCCAAACTAAGCCCCTAACACACACATACACTTGCATACCCACTGTGGTCAATGAGCCAAATGCTTTTGTACTTAGCGCGTTTAAACAAGATATTAGTGGGGATTTCACCTGTACAAAGCCCAGAACAGCACTTGCCTCCTACACACATACACACACACAAACACACGTATAAACACAGAATTGAAGAACACGCCTGCAATCAGGCCAGTTATTTTTGAAACGCCAATTTGCTAACATATACGTAAACTCCCGCCCTCCTCATATCTAATTTTAGGCAAACAAACAAATGTTGTGCATCCGAAAGGTAAAAGACAAAGCACCCCAAATATAGGCAGGCAAACCCTTGACGTGCAAAGCGCTCCAGGTGACTAACATTGCGTATACGTAGCGTATATTATGCAATCAATCCAGCAATTAATCACTCAACTCCTAATCCTACTCAACTATTTACAAGTTGTAGTCCTTGAAACTTGCCTAGCGCTTACGTAAGACTTAGCCAACCGCCGATTCAGATAACACACAAGCTTTAGCAATTATAATCCAACATTAATTCGAACATTTTATATCTTCTCTTTAAGTCTCACTCTACTTATGATCAATCCTTGTATATATAACCGCAATGCACAGGTCTGATTTGTTCTTAAGGTAATCTTCAGATATTTATTAGATTGTATATAGATATTTGGGCTTTCAGAACCCGAATTGGTAAACGATTTTAAAGTTTTTTTTTTTTTTTTTTAAATCCTTATAGCTGGGAATCTGTATATTTGCGAGCAATAGAAATTTTAAGAGATACTCTAATAGATTGTTATCACAAGAAATCCTTTACAAATATTATTGTACATGCTCTAAAATTGGTTGCATTGTTAATTTAAGTTTGCATTAAACGTAAATTTGCTTTACTCATAAATAAGTTTCGAATTTTTTCATATGCCGCTAAGACAAAATTGTTCATACCTTCATTTGTACAACCAGGCGATTAAAATCAAATGCTAAGCTTGATTTTCATAGTTATAAAAAATTATTATCACAATTATACATAGCAAATTTGAATGTTCAATATAGAGTTGCTATTTCGAATTTTATTACAGTATACAAAAACAAAATACAAACAAAAGTAATAAAATGTATTTATGAAAAAAAAAATAAGAAAAACAATTATAAATTTTTAAGTACATTTTAGTGAATTTTCAAGTGCTGATTACATAAATCATATATACATGCATATTATATATTCATCCTCTTAGAAAATCGTAGTTTTTAATTTAGCAAATGAAACTAGAAAAAAAAGTGAAACAAACCCTGGGATAGAGTTATTTATGCATACGCCCGACAAACCAACAAAATTTGTACACCAATCTAAGAAAAAAATTAAAAAGATCTATAAAAAAAGACAATTCCAAAACAACAAAAAAAATAAGTCTATCCTTGAATCTGATCTGTATCTGAAGTAACAACTGAGCTTCAATTTATACCTACAACTTGTTCTTTTCTCTGCTCTTCTTTTTCTACTTTTCTCACACAATGTTAACTTGAAACAAAATATTCCCAAAACTAAATCTCGACGCGATGTCGTTCGATGTCACCAAAAACCTAAATCTTTCGACACACACACACAAACACACACACACACACACACACGCTTACACTTTTACCCCTGCACCCTGGTCGACATATGTAAACCGTTTCTAACCACAAAAACAACTTTCTTACCAAAACCGCGATACTAACCACGACCTCCAGGCGAGAAAAATACGCTGATTGAGCCTCCGCCCTTGCCCTCGTTCGGCACGCCCCGTCGTCGGGCTTTGTCCGCTCGCATACAGGAGCTGAATCGCAGTTTGCTAGAGGAGCGCGACACCCAACAGCAGAACAGCTCCAGCGACAACGAGGACAGTCGTTAAAACAGACAGAGAGCAGCTGCCCGAACGTGCAAACAGAGCAACAACAACCGATACCCTACAGAACACAGGGCAAGCCCGGGCAGCGTCGAGCAGAGCTCCCCATGTTACACTAAGCCTAAAATAACTAGTTGAAGAGTATCGTAAAGCTAAACTGTTATTGTAAATGTAAATTAGAAAATGCAACTTGTTATGTACCAACTAAAGAAAAAGACACCCCACATACATACATTCGGCACACGAACACACAAACACACCCGCACACACACTAACACACAACTTAGTCTTAGGCAAAAACTGTAAACGAATTGTTATTGTATATGTGTATGCGAGCAACCAAGTACTTCCTACAAGCTACTCCTCCAGTAAAATCCAGTATCCGGTTCACTGTTCATAGTTAGTGCTAGCTATATAGACATTGGCTTCCAATTTGCCGTTTGCTGTTTAAAAGGTGAAAACCCCAATCAAAATGAATTACTTGATGTACTTCCGTTAAAGCGAGGCTATCGAAATTAAATGTTGTGATTATATATAACTGCTTTTAGGCGCCCTAAACATACGAACACACTGAATACAGAAATATACATTTCGACTAGCATACAACCTGCCAGGCACAGACACACACACACAAACATACACTAGCTCATACACACACATGCCGCTGCTTGAAAAACCTGCCGCATTGCGCATACGCAACGTTGCCAACTCGCAGCGTTGCGCGCGGGCAGCTCGTGAGAAGATTTCTCTTTCAACTGTGCGCTAAATTGAAAGTTTTGCTAATTGCCGTAATGCGTTTGTTTTTAAACTAAATGCCATCAGCACTTGAAAATAGTATTGAAATGTCTTAGAAAAAAACAAAAATAAAACAAATAAAAAGGAAACTGTGTCGATTTTGTCACATCGACAACACAATTCATTCGGTGTCGCATCTGCTCAAATTTGCTGATGTTTCCATTTAATTTCATTTGCTGCCTATTTATGCATTTTCTTTTACAAAACCACTATTTAGTTTTGCCTTACAGAAAAACTAAGCAAAACTTTCAAGAGCTCTCAAACACACCATTGTGTGGTATTATTTCTAATATTTAGACGTTTCCACTGCATCGCATTTGCAGCACAGTGGAAACGTGGCTTGGTAGCGTGGCTCTGTGTGTATGTGGCTAACTTGAATGGAGTGTGGGACCAAGAGCACAGTTCCCATTCCAAATGCTAACACAACACGCCAAACACGTCAAAAGAGAACGTTGAAAACAATCCGCGTAAGCACAATTTTAATTTAGTATAAACGTAGCTATTAACTAGGCCTATAACTAGCGAAACTGAACTTCCCTAGCATTTGTTGAGCACAATAGTCAAAAGTGATAAAAATAAAAAGAGTCAAATACAACCATTTTGGCCATTCCGAAGCTTTTATACCCTTGCAGGCAATATTTGGATAGTTCATTATATTAAAATTCCAATAAATCCCTCAACTTTAAAACCTTCAAATCTCTTAGCACTGAAATTGGAAATGGGGACAGACAACAAAAGAGACAGACCTGCAGGGGCATAAAATAAGAATCCCTCCAAAATTGAACGCAGCTTAGAAAGAAAACAAACTAACTGTAGTACTGAGATCTTGGGCCAGCGTTATATGGGCTCAATGATCCGGCCACATTTATGCAAAAGTCAGCCTTATTTATGAAATTAGTTGTTGTAGCTTAAAGAGACTAAGCTTAGTTTATAATTTAGAGAGCGCGCCACGCACATTGTGGACATCAAATTTGTATGTAGGTAAACATATATTCAATATATTTATAAATTTAATCTTAGCAAATTATGGCAGAATGTTCCTAACAATGCATAGGTAAACTCCAGAATAAAAAGCCCAAAAAAAAAACCAAAAAAAAAATATTTAAAAGCAAGTATATATAAAAATAAATTGCCTTATTTAAAGCATAACGCGCTTAGTTTGCAGCAACAAAATGTTTTTATGTTTCATTTAAATGAAACAATAAACTCGATGTGTACTCGTAAGACTATTTATCCATAGCAGCTGAAGAGCATGTAACAAGCAGAATAAAAATTAAATTTTGTTAAGTGTTGAAATAATTGTAGACTTAAGCTAAACACGCTGAGCAGTTAAATGAAGTTATACAAAATATATGAAGCCCATTAATGAAAAAACTAACTAAGCGATTTAATATTTTGTCATTTTGTTTCATTGATTTCAGTTCAAAATAGTTACAAATTTCTATTGATTTGCATTGCAATTAAATTGAATACAATATATGTATATTGTTCAAATATTTCTATCATTGTGCACAGTTCAAAATTGCATAGTTACTTATCGGATAGGATTATGAAAAGCTTGAAAACATTGCTTCAAGCGACAAAAGCCTTTTACGTGCCTTTTACTTCCAGACTCGTTTATACTTTTGTCCAGTGTATGTGTGTACCCATTTCTTTATTTTGTCTTTATCTTCTTCTGTACGATCCTAAACTCAATGCGTCAGAGTGTAGAGTTTTGTAACTAAGATATCTGCTCGCAAAAACGCTGCATGCATCTATATATCTATCAACTATCTGCATACATCGAACTCGAATGAAACTCTACGCTCCCAATGCTCAAGCCGTGTGTATAAACAACAACAATAACATGCCTACATATATATATATATAATTATTATTACTCGTATTTATCCAAAATTCTTGTGTCTGTACACTCATACATTTTGTGTATTTTGTATCTGTACTATTGTAAACTGTCAACTTTTGTGTGTCTGTGAATTAGCAATAAAACCAAAATCTAATACGCTGTATTTCATTTAACAACACCCTATATCGTATGTACTTATCATCTAACTACTTATATGACTGCATTAACGATATTTAAAGATGTGTTTAATGCTTGACAAAAAGCCCTTTAAAATACATATCACTATTCGCTTTAACTGTGCGCCATTGTCAAGCCTGTACCGAATAATCATAGTTCTTTACAAAGCCAATGAAAAGGTAAACAATTAAATTGTTGCTAAACTAATCTAAGCTTTTCATTTACTCAAAAAGGACAGGAAGGAGTTTCAACTGCTTCGAGACTCCAAATTATATATTTATATTAGTTTTCTCGTATTCATACTTTTACTTTAAAAAAAAAAACGAAAAAAACCAAGAACACCAAATCCCATTTCTAAACTGCTTTTCATTTACCTGTTGATCTTGTGCTCATCATGATTTTATACTTCGCATTTTTGACATTATAACTGAAACAGGAGATTGCGTAAATGACCATGAAATGCGCTTTTGTTCAGCTGTATCGATTATTGTCTTTAACAATGTAAAAATAATTGTCGTACATACAAAATGAACCTGTCTCGTACATTTGTTTTGCCGATTTTGTTTGGAGCAATTCATCCAGAAAAACGATAAAGAAAAGTAAATCATCTTCATACGTTTCTTAATTTTAATTCCTAACTCTAACCTTCGCTCATCTTAATCATATAAACAGACAGACGAGAAACTAGTGAGAGGTACAAATTTTATTCTCAACGCAACATTTTTATAGGCGAGTGAAAAGAATGGGCAAATGTTCAATTATTTTTGTAATTGAACTAATTCTGGATACAAGTCTGTAAACATTATTATTTTTATTTGTAAACTTAATTCGGTATATTTGCTAAGCTCCATACGCTAGCCGTTGTCTGTTTTTTGTTGTGCCAACTAACATAGCCACTCAATAGCTCACTGTTAATCGTAACTAGTGCCACAATTAAAGTAAATGTTGTGCTAAAACACACTCACACTCACCCACACTCATCAAGTACTTACTAACTTAAAATAAATATAAATTTGTATCTTTAATAACGCCATAATTGGGCATTTAGCTATCTATATACATATTGACATACCTAGCTATACATAAATATTATCGTCGTACTATACTCCCAGTTGTTGACCGTTCAATGTTGTTCCTTAATGTATCTAACTACTAAAATACTTGTTATCGTGAAAGCTATTGATCGTCGTCATTTTAACTATCATCGCCGTCGTCGTCGTCGTTGTCGTTGTCGTTTCAACAACAATAGCATAACCCATAACCATAGAAACATAATCGTATAACGACATTCATAAAGTGCATATCTCTTTCTTTTATTCCTTTTTTTCCCCATTTAATTTGAATTTCGTCTCATTTACGCTCTCAACAACAACAAACAAACGAAACCCAAAATGCTCTACATAAATCGTAAATAAAATAAAAATTAAAAACATGGCGCAAAATGGCTAAACAAATGCGAACAACGCATACAAATAAAAATAAAAAAACAACCAAAATGTTTTCAAAATTGCGACAAAATGCATTCATGGCTTTTTCCGCGTGCTACCAACGACAACAAAAAACAACAACAACAATAACCACAACGACATGAATCTAACGTGTCGCGATGACACTTAAATACATCCACTCACACACACACACACCCACACCTATCTACACACACACACACGCACACGCAATGCAGAAAAGCGCGAAAGCCACACACGATCGCTAAAAAATTGGCACCGTTTAACCCACGCGCTACGCCGATCGCCCACAGGACACAATCTCTCCCAAACGGATGGGGATGGCAACAGCACCGAGGGGGAATCGACCAGCGGTCGAAATCCGGCAACCACAGGCACTGGCTGTTACAAGAACTACGAGCACGTTGCCAATCTACGAAACTCGAATATGCAGCACGTAAGTGACTTCTCTATGCCCAACTAAATGAATACCCTGCATTTAAGGTAATAAAAAATATTTATGCATATTTGATTTACGATAACCTTCACATAATATATCAAAGATAACTGTTTCTACACATTATTAAAGAATTCTTTGTTTATGATAATATTCAAAAGTGGGAGCACATTAAAAATTACCGTACAACTAAAAATTATTAGGCTTTAACCAAAAAATGAACTTATGTTCGTGAAAATTGAGGTTCAAACCACAAAATTAGATATATTTACCAATTCTTATGTCGAAAACAGTCAAAATTAAATATCTTTTACAAAATAAAAAAAGTAAATGATTTTCGCTCCACAATCAAATCGACAAGCCATAACCAAAAAAGTTATTGAGGTAATGGGAAACCATCAACAAGGCTATACAGAACTTTTGATTTCAGCTAGCACAACAATATGTCCTGATATAAATTAACTTTTGTGCTACTTTCACGCAGCGTCGCGGCTCCAGCTCTGAGCAGGATGCGGTACCGCCATACAGCTTCGACAATCCAAATGCCAGGCAGACCTCAATGATGGCCATGGAAAGCTACAGGCGTGAGCAGCAGGCACTACTTCTGACACAGCAGCAGCAGCAGCAACAACAACAACAACAACAGCAGAAGCTGCAACCAGCTGCGCAACTGCCTGCCGTCGGAGTAGCCAACAATCTAGCCATGGTGGCTGCCTCCAGTGCAGCAACAGCGGTGGCCACCTCCAGCAGTGCTGCACAGGATAGCGGAGGAGCGGCCTCCTCGTCGCAAGGGGAGGATGCGGTGACCATAGCGTCAAACCAGAAGGGATTGCCCATACAGATGATGATAACGCCCGGGGTAAGTGTGGGTGTCGGGATTGGGGAATACCGAATAAGTGTGTAGTCCCAGCCAAGTGCTCGTATATCTTAAATATATCTTAATGTTTTCAAAGTTCTTAAACCGTAACTATGTATTAGTAAATGTGAAGCCGTTAACTGGAGCTAAATATTTCAAATATTGTAAACAGTACACTTATCGACATCATTTTACAACATCCGTTTGGTTTTCAACACTTGAATTTTTTACAAAAATAAAAGGAAACCAACTTCCAGCTGAGCATTGGTTTTAGTTCAACTTTTGTTGTGTCGAATCGATCAAGAATTTTGTTAATTTTTGAGTCTAGTTGAATTTTGCTTCATGTTTGATGTTTTATGATTTACTTTGAACACGATCACAAAAAAACATTAACTAAAAACTTAATCACTTACTTACATGCAAGAGCTAGCTACTTATATAAACAAAGTTCGATAACAACAACAACACATTTCAACTTTTAGATTTTACGGGGACGCAGTAAGGAGGTACATTCAAAGTATACACAAAGAACTCAAAATACTCTACTCTAATGCATACTACTTGCCACTGCTACTCTTTAATATCTATAGAATTTTTAATTCTATTTTAAAAACAAGATAAAAAGAATTGATAATTTCCAACAAATTGATTTTCAGAGGCTGAACATATTGCTAAACTTTTATTTTCTTTACTTTTCTTTGGAAAATAATAATATGAAACCCAAATTCGAGCTCCAACATTTGCATTTTGAGAATGTCTCCAAGCTCTACATAAGAGCGCATTTCAACTGCTAGAATGCTTAACAAATTTGCATAAGTACTTCGATAATTTATTTTATATTTTACTTTATAAGTTTATTAAACCTGTCTTGTTTAACTTTTTGCTTCTACTCTATGCATATACACAAAATTATTTAACCACAATAAGCTATTGGAATCCAGAGCCTGATCGAAGCAGAAGTTAAATATTCTTAGACGTATAGAGGCTGGCTTCCAGCAAGTTTTTACCTCGAAGCCATACAAAAATTGGTAGCTTTAATGCAATATATAGTATAGTTTTGATAGATAGATTTGTGAGAAAACTATCATAAAATATTTCATTTAATTTCTATTGTATTTTTTAATAAATAACTCAATTTTGTAAATATGTATATACAAACAAGAGCTTGCAACTTTTTTTAACATATTAATCAATCGATTCGCTAAATCTTAAAAGAAAATTAAAACTCTTTGAGATCGCTTAAGGTTTTCGATATGTATACAGCAAAGCTTCTTATTCAATTTCTCAAGGCTGCAAGCTGATTTTAACGCGATCGGCTTGAGCCTTGAATTACGCTTTTATAATAAACCTGAATCAAATCATGGCTTTTATATCAATGCTATCGGCAATTTCAATATTCCAAGTTATCTAATTGCGATAACTTAAAATCAGAAATTTTAATCAATAATTAATTCAACTAAATGTGGCCAAGCAAGTTGCGAATTCAGAACTGGGATCTGAACTGTATATAGCCAGGTATACAAATCGAACCTTAGGGCAAGACATTGCAGCCTTGATTATTAATATAAACTTTAATATTTACAGTTAATAAGATTCAACATATTAATCCCTTTGAACTCCTTTTGTTGCCTCATCTGTCTTTAAGTATTTATTGCAGCAGCTACTCAATCCATTCTCTACAATCTAAAGCGAATCCAACATAAACTCACAAGCGAAACGGACACACACATATTTGTAGTTAGAAGAAAATATATCTCATTGACAATATTGAACTGACAAAATCGTATAAAATATATATATGATAAATATGATTAACGAGTGGGTGCATTTACTAGGTGTAGTCCATGCTTTGTGCAAACTGCGCAGGTTCCTTTTGTTTCACGAGATCCTTGCTTTTGGTGCTGACGTCTGTCCCGTCACTACCACTACCAATTGCAACAGTACCACCAATACCACTGCCAACACCACGACTAATGCCAATGCCAGAGGTATCTGTTTCCGGCGCCGTTTCAGGCGGCGCTCCGTTCAGCGGCGGCAATGTGATTATCATGGGCACCGGCGTGGGCCGGTCGAAGTGCTGCAGCGGCTGTCGCAGCTTGTCCAGGAGCGCATGCAGATCGACAGTCAACTTGGGCTGCACAATTCCCTCGGCTGCCTGTAGGCCGACCACTTGCGAGGAGAGCGAATCGACATCCTGTCGGGCGGCGAAGAGCAACTGATCGTGCGCCGCCAGCTGCAGCTGGGCGATCTGGGCACGTATGGCGGCGGCGGCCACCTCCTGCTGCGCATTGTGCAGGGTGGCGGTAATGGTGCGCACATGATTCGCCGAATCTTCGAGTTGCGATTGCGCCGAGCTGGCCACGGCCTGCGCCTTGTGAATCTCAGACGCCTCCAGCTGAACGCGCGCCTGTGCCACATACAAATGCTGCACCAACTTGCGCAGCTCCTTGCTCCGCTGCTCGGAGTCATCGGCCTCAGGTGCCGGCTCCTGCTGCTGTGGATATTGTTGCTGCTGCTGAGGATATTGTTGCTGCTGTTGCTGAGGATATTGTTGTTGCTGCTGTGGAAATTGTTGTTGCTGCTGCTGTTGTTGTTGCTGTGACTGCTGCTGTGGCACGCCAGAATTCTGGTTCGGTTGCTGCAAATGATCACAATTGACATTGGGATGTGGTGTGGGCGGATAAGACGGCTGACACGTTGTTGTGCATGGCGGTTCAAAAGAATCACAGCTTGGCATATTGGCCTGTGGAAATGATTCGCACGGGGTGCAGCCCTGAACCGCTGTGAAGCATGGCAATAAAAATGGAACGCTAAGTTGAGCAAGTAATAAACCCACCCTCGTCTTCAGGTGCATCACAGCCCTTTAGGCTGTTCTGGCCCAAGCGCTTCAGTTGATCATCAAAATTGGCATCAACATAGTCGTAGTCCTGGCTCAGATGCGGTTCGTCGCGTTTTCCAATCATTCTGGGCTGCTGGCGAGTGTGGCCTGCACGTAAGACGATAAACAGTGCAACTGGACGAACAGTTTGACATTTATTGTGGTTTCCAATATCTGGAGCCCAGACAAAATACGGGACACTTACCAATCCAAAGCAGATTGCTTAATCGCATTTAGAGGACATTTAGAGCAGATCATTTAGCTTGTTGAGGAAAAGTTTTGAAATTTTTGTCTCGACATTTGATTCCAGCCTGACTGTCAATTGTAGCCTTACTCAGTTTTTGCCCAGACCTAAGACCCAACAATAAACTCTCAACTAGACCATCATCTCAAAGTTTCGAGAAACTCCACAAAAGGTTTTTGATGTTGCAACGCACAAGTTTGCTTATCAAACGCAGTGCGTTTTTGTCGGCATGCGCATGAGAATTTGTAAAATATAAAATTAAGCTACTTGAATAAATATTGTAAATAATGAATTTTAACTATCTAATTAGCATTACGTGTATGCTGCATGTCTTGTGAATATTTCGTATTTTCGTTGAATTTCGATTTGATGCATTGACATTTTGCCAAAACCCTAAACCCTACTTATAGGAAGTGGCCGAGTTGCGCCGCCAGGTGGCGCTCGAGAACCTGCAAAACCAGCGCATGGACAATCTGGAGCAGGATGTGCCAGTGGAATTCGAATGCTGCTTCTGCACAACCAAGGTAAAATCGACAACCAAGACAATCGATTTATCTATACCTGACCCGAGCTAACTTTTGTATCTGACATCCACCAGCTCTTAACCTTTGCTTTCTGTATAATCCGCATGCTTTTTTCACATAATATTTATATATAATATATACTGGCACCAACGAGTATTTTAACTGCACTTGCACCAGTTCTTTGTCTTTCGTTTTAACTAACAAACTAACAGATAACACGCAAATCATCTAAACGAAAACTCAAAAGTCGTCAACTTAAAAACAGTTCCAGCAGTTGGCCTGCTACGTATTTGGAGTATATATACATACTTTATTAGATCTTGCTTGACATAGGACCCGTATACTGTATTTCAATTGCCCACAAACGTAGCGAGCATATTGATCCCAAGTAGCGACCCGCATTTCCAATTTTGTATACAATTGTGTTAAATTGAAGAGGACTGTGTAAATATTGCAGGATCGCATTTGTGTCTTTCACGACAGAGAGTATAGCATCAAGAGGCTGGCGCGACCACCGCCATCGCCAAAAAATTATCTGGCACTGAAACGCATGATCGAGGAGGGCATTATCGATATATACTATCTGTGATTGATTCTGTATATGAACATGATGGTAAAGGCTGCACCCAAGTGTCCCAGTGTCCAAGTGAAGTGAAGATCGTGTATTGTGCTTTATGATTTCCATTCCATATTATTTTAAAATTGATTTGTGTGTGCAGCAGAGCACAGTCGAGTAATATGGCATTTTATGTTGACTTTGTTTCTTTTTCATTTCTTTTTCTTAAAGGGTTTGCCAGGATGTCAAGGCGAGTGTATTCCATTGCGTGCGAATAGCGTTTAGAAACAATTTATTTAGAGCTTGACAGATTCGATTGACATTGGCTGTCAATCAGTAAATAGCAACGAGAACTAAGAATACACACTCACCCACACTCACACACACACACAAACACACACACACACCCGCTACACCCAATGATTAAATTTAAAATTTATCTCATCGAATTGCAAACACACTTAATGATATGAAACCGCAAACAAACTAAGAATTACTATTGAAATTACAAAAAGAAAAACAAGTTAATTAGCTTTAATTTTAAACACAAGTTAAAACATAATTAAATTGATTATTATTATTACTATTATATTCGTGCGTGACGTGAAAGCTAAACAAAGACATAGCAAATTCTAAGAATTTAATTAATTTATTTTTACTCCACACACAAATGAACAAAGGAAAACCCAAAGCAGCATGTGTTATTATCTATTATCTATTATCTATATATATATTATCTATCGAGTGTTTAACCTTAAGGCCTTGAGATGAGTTTCAAACAATTCTTTTTTACACTAAGCACATAATTATTAGAACTAGTTTTAAATAAATCGTTTGTTAGTAGCAAGAAATACAAATATAACAAAATATGATGAAAACAAATACAAAACTATATATAAAATTGAATTGAATTAATTAATTATTTGATATATTGTTATTGAAGCAACAACAAAAAAAAAACTGCAATAAATAAAACAATTGTTTATCGATTTCAACATTTAATTAGCACTATTCTATTGGCACTCAACTTCTATCGATTCGTTTCGTATTGCTAGCCTAGAAAATCTTTCCAAATAAAATTTTCCTTTCTTTTCTATAAGAACTATTATTATTATTTTTCTTGTTTTTTGTTGTATAAACATTGAGAGCTGTGAATCCCTCGAGCACAATGTCAATATTGGGTAAGTAACAGAGTTTGTTAAGTTTAGTTTCCTTTGTTTCTTTTATTTAGTTATTTAAAAATTTTTGTGTTTTTTTTTTTTGGTTCGGAACTTTTTTTTAACCCAAAACTAAATTCAAAATCCAGCGCTGCACGTTTGACCTTAACTTGATGCATTTTAGTTGCATGTTGAATGCTCTTGAGAACCAACAACAATTTTTCAGCAATACCAAGTGCACAACATTTACCAAAATAATGCAAAAAAAATAAATTAATAATTATAATTTAAAAAATAACAACGATTTCTAAGGTACTGGGCCTGGCCTCGTCTAAATCAAATCACTCTCATCATGCGTCCCACACACTTTCTGCCTTGCAGGACTTAAAGGAGTACACCGATGCGGAGGGCGTCATCTCACTTCCAACTTCCGACTTCCACAAGCCCATCTGCCTAGAGATGCGCATGGCGGCGGCCAATCGCCAGGCCAATCAGTTCGGTCTACCACTACCAGCATCCAGAGCCCCACATCCGCTGCAGCTGACGGCTCGCGGGGATGTGGTGCTGTTGCCCGTCTATACAAGTGCCAGCATTATGCCCATCATTTCACAGTCATCGTCGGCGTCATCCTCATATGGCACGACAACATCCACAACCATTGCACTGCCGCTGGAAGCAACGCGGGGCTATGGAGCGCCCATTGCAAGCAATTTCAATCACAACTACAACAACAACTTCAACACGACAACTGTCGGCGCTGGGGGCGTGGCCAATGGCATGCTGCTGTTTGGCAATGGCAACTACGGTGGCATCAGCAGCAGCAACAATAACAACAACAACGCGGACTTGGCCAGCGTCGACAGCTCGGACACGTACGCCAGCTGCCAGACGCATCCGTTTCTGTCCCAAGGCGATCTCACTGCCGACTTCAATGATGAGGCCTGCGCCTTGGACATTGACATGGACAATCTGTACATAAATCCGCTGGAGAAGGAGTCGCGCCGCGGTACAAACATCAGCAGCTCCACGGGCTTTATTGTTGGCTTGCCGCCCACAGGCTCCGCCTCCGGCCTAACAATGCGCGCTCAGGTGAAGAAAAGCGCCTCGGGCGACACGGCACTGCGGAATCTGGCCGCGGGCGGCATCAGTCCGCTGGATGATGTGTATCAGAACTTTGACGTGCAGGAGCGCGGCAGCCGTGTCAGCCTGAACGAGAACTCAGTGCCAAAGCATCGGAAGACGCGTTTCCAGCAGAGCTTCACGTCCATGCGACCTAGCACAAGCAGCAGCAAGCCCCGTGCCCGCTTTGAAGATACCATGCTGTGCGCGGACATTGTAAGATTGGACGGCGGTGCCGCCGGTCCAGCAACAGCCGGCAGCAGCGCTGCCGCTGTCGGCAGCAAGAAGAAGCGTTCGGCCTTTCTGCCGGGCAAGAGCTTAGCCACTGCCACCAAACTGATCAATCAGCGTCTGTTCGGCATACAGAATGCGGGCGCCAAAGGTGACTCTCACTTAACAAAGATCTGATTTTATTTTGACTAACTGCTGTTTACTTTCAGCCAAATTTGAGAGCAAGCATTCCTCATCGATAGACTCGATTGATGCATCGCCGAATCTGGAGCATCACAGACGCTCCAAGTCGATACTGAAAAACAAGTCTGATGTCTCACGCGTGCTGTCCGATCCCGAGAGCGAACGTCTGTTGGCGGACAATATGTCAGGCTCGGGCGTGTCCGACAATGGCACCGTTATGGTATATATATATAAATATAAATATATAATAATCAATCACCATTTGTCTCAATTGAATTGAATTGCAGGGTGAATCTGGCAGCGATTACTCACCGAATAAATTACCTCATTCAGTTTTAGCTAAGTCTATATCCCCACCACCCCTTAGGCATCGCACCCTAATACACCAACGCTCAGGACCAGCGACGTTGCAATCGAAGCCAACCAAGTTCCAAACTCCGCGCTATCCCGAGGAGCAGGCACTACGCCAGGTTAAGCCCGTTCTCTCGCGCTCCTCGGCCGCTGCTCAGACATCGGCCGATGGCCGCTACGATCCGAGTCAGACGGGCGACAGCAGTTTGGGTAGGTTCATGTTCTTATTTAAGTAGGTAATCCACTCTCATATTGAGTACATCACTGAGTAATCCAGACATTTGGCTGGGAATACACAAAACAACAACAACAACAAAAACAACAACTATTCTGTTCTATTCTCTCTCGCTCTATCATCAAACGCGCCGCTCAACTTCGCCTTCATAGTTACTGTCTTCGACGCCGCATTCTGAATAACCCGATTAACCCAACACAAAACCCACCCACAGACACAGTTAGACACACTGAAGGATTCACAAAATGCAGGCAAGGCGAGCAATTAATTAGTTACGATTCACACACAAGATGTCGAAGCCACACGGATCCTGGAATATATATATATACTAAGCCATTTTAGCACTAACTTCTGCAATCACCTGTACTCACCGTGTACACCCGAGTCGTAGTCTCTTTATCAAGCAGTTGTTAGCTTGGTTTGCCATCGAACTGCACCAGCTGTAGTCCTTATGTCAATATATATGTAAAGCTGTAGCAGTTGGCCTCTAAACACACCACACTCACACACACGCAGCTTTCTGTACAGCATTATTTTTATTATGGCACCCATTTAATATATATTCTTCTGTCAAGGTGGTTTTAATAGTTTGCTCTCTGCCCTGAATCCATAGATTCCGAGACGACTTTTACCTCGCCGGTTAAGCAGGCACCGGCCCTGGACCCACCCAGCGAGCCACAGGACAAAGCGAATGGCGATGGCGAAACGGAAGCGGAAGTGGAAATGGAAGGCGGCGAAAGTGAGGCCAACGATGAGCAGCGAGCGCTGCTGCAACCGCAAAATGCAGATGAACCGCCAGCCAAGAGTGACTGTGGCGGCGGAAGCGGTGGCGCAGGCACGGGCGCGGGCGGTGGGGCCACGTAGCAATTAGTCAACACACACATACACACAGAGACACCAAAAGCGCTTAGTAGTTAAAACCTATGGAGAATCCAACACAAAAAAAATCAAAAAGAAAAAAAAAATACAAAGAAAAACTCAAAGTGATAGCAAAGTTAGCGAAAATGGAATGTGAATTATATAAAAGCAATGAACAGTATCCTAGTCTAATTTGAAATGCAGATGAAGAGCGTTGAAGTCGAATATTTTTTACAAAACTCAAGCTGAAACTGAAAAGAAAAAAACACCCAAACACACCAAACACTGAGAAAAAAAACATACAAAAAAAATTAAAAAAAAAAAAATACAAAAAAAATAAACTACAAATACAAAAAGCAAATCGTTGCGATGCCGCGCATGCCGTACAAATAAAATTTAATCCTTATGTATATGAAGGAATCCCGTAATTCAAACATACCAAACAGAAAACCCAAAGATTAATAAACAAAAGATACATTTTACATGTAAATAGAATCCTAAGCTAATGCTAATCTATTGTAAATGCAACAAAAACAAAACAACAAGTGCAACATTTATTTACAGCTTACAGCATATAGACGAAATCACCATAAAAGCCTAAAATGTCGAGTTAAATAGTGAAGAAAACAAATTAAATAACATATTTTAAATGCAACTTATATATACACATTCACGTACATATACAATAATATTTATACACCCAATTCGCGGCATATTTGCATATAAAAACGAAACAAAGAGTAACATAATATTTTTTTCTCTCAAAGCACGCAACAAAAGACATCGGTTTAATATATTATATATAAATATAAAAAACAGATCCATGTACATCATATACATACAAGCTAGATAAATTGATCGAGAATTCATAAAACAAAAGTAGTTAAAATCGTTACGCAAATATTCGTTTATATGTATGTGTAAGGGTAAGGCTTCTTGTTAGTGCTTTGTTTCCCCCCAAACTAACCCCCAGCATATTTGATAAAAGTCGTAAATCTTAGTAAGAAACATGCGAATGGGGCTCTTCTCTAAGCAGGCAAGTCTGGTAATTGATTGCGTTCAAACTCTTTGAATTTTTCAAGAATCATCATCTATTAACTGACAACCAGAGGAAACCTCTCGTATAGAGTTTTTATTTTCGCTTTGTGCCCATATAAAAAGTAGCTATCGTATTAGAGGTATGACAAGTACGTAATTCACTAAAATAAGTTTGTTTTGCTGTAGTAGTCAACGTTAAACATTAAATGACATTTGAAAGAGGTTTTCTATATTCTTTGTTTATTTGTTGAGATACTGCATAGTGATATTTTGTGCGCTAGTCGCAGCTAGTCTCAGCTTTTTTATATGTGTGCGTCTCGTGTGTGTTAGTTCAAAGTTAAACAGGTACTTCAAAAGTTACAAAACTATTCGTAAAATTATAGTATAGTATTTGGTCGTGTCTCTTGTTTCAGTGTAAGTACTTAGAATTAGTGTGAGCAAACGGTTTTGTGAGTTTGTTTTCTTTTCAATTATACACACAAACACACATAAGCAATATATTAGAGAACTTTCAGTTTTTTTAGGTTTCAACAAAAATAGTTTCCCGTATGATCCCATTCAAAGATATTTAGTCAATTATTCAAGTCTCAAATGATTGTGTGTTTCTATGTGAGCCCCTCCTCTAAGTTGTGCCCAAAACATTCCAAAATGTGTGTATTGTTATGGTTAATTGGTATTTATATATGGTATGTTATGATTGTATTATAAAAGAGCAAAGCCTTCAAATTGTTGGTAAATTGAATTGAATTGAATTCGCATCTATAAAACGCATTTGATAATATTCAAGGCATTTCGCATGGTCAGCAGACGAGTCTCGAACAGAAAATAAAACAAATAAAAAAAAAAAACAAGTATTAATGCAAGCAAATTTGTACGCTAAACCAATAAATTCAAGCATTTATTAAATATTTAAAGATTATTCCTACAGATATAAACATATATAGTATAACACAGGCCAGCGTCTAAAGTAAATTCAAGATGAATAAATAAATTTAATTAAATTTAATAAGCTACTATAATAAACAGAAGCAGAAACATAAACAGAATATTTCAAGCCTCGATGTGTCCAACATCATTTTGTTAGGTACGATTGGTTGTAATTTTACGAGTCTCAAGAACCTAAAAACTAAATCAAGCCTGCAGAAAGCGAAAAATTGGATACAAATCAAATGCAAATTAGCCTCTTAGAAACATATCAGTAAAGGAATACGAATTCGCTCACTTACACTTACACACACACACACACACATGCATACGTTGTGATACATGCACACACACACTCACACGCCCCCATACACGCATACATTGTAAATTCACGGAAATTTTATTATGAGAAGCCAACAATCTTAACGTCCGCTTTTTCAACTTTAAGCCCTAAGAGAAAATGAAAACTTAAGTAAAGTTAAAAACTAAATAAATTAAAGCCAAAAATTCGATTTAAAGTATGTATGCATATAGTTAAAAACAATGGAATTATAATTAAATGCTTAATGCAACCGAATTTTGTAAGCAATTCATTTGGAATTTTCTACACAATTTTTGGTGAGCGCAGGCCACATTCCAGTTAATTTGTAATTAAAAATAAACAAGAAGAAGAAGAAAATAATTAATTAAGCAGCCTGAAAACTTTTGTAAATATTTGTTTCACACACAACCACAAAATCGCGCCGTTTCTCAGCATAGTCCTTATTTACAAGAAAGAAAACAAATATTTGTAAATTAAAAAACAAAAGTAAGAACAAATGGCACTGCAATTTTTATACAAAAATCGTTTCGGTTTGAAATTGTTACTATTTTTCTAAATTATTTTTTAAGAGCTGCAGCTGTTAATGCATTAAGATTAAAATGGATAAGCTGCAACTGCAACAACTGCAATAACAACAAAAACAACAACAGCAAACGCAAAATGTTATTATGTAATATTAATTATGATATTTAAATTATTAGTAAACGATATGTACATTTTAAAGTAGTCTGTCAACGGCGATTGAAAATCAGCGAAAATGAATACCATTAACAAAACCAAAACAAAAAGATAAGCTAAATCGTTGGGAATAAAAACAAAAAAAAAAAAACAAAAACAAATTTATTAAAATATATTAAAAATTATATTGAGCGAAATATCATGGAAATATATAAATCATTGAGCAAAATTTACAAAACTTGGCTTTTCTTTTTTTATTGCCCAATCTCTGTATGAAAGTTTTTACCATAAATATTGCCATAAATAAGTAAGGTCCACCGAATTTGAATTGATTCCTTAAAATGTTTTAAATATATTAAATACCTAGGCTTGAGGCAAGGCCCGCATTTAAGGATGTCAAAATGTAGGTTCACAAACCGAACCTAGAGGTAGGAAGCCAGTTCGAACCGTCAACAAAACCAACCAACCATTTTAAAGCTTCACAAGGCTGCATAAAAAGCTTTTTTCTGGTAAAAGAACCAGATTCGACGCTTTTGACTGCCTTTAGACTAAAAAGCTTAGCAGAACTTTTCAGGGTTGTCAGGTTGCAACAGAATACACAGAGTACGCTTCAAAAAATCCTGTACAATAACCATGCCTGGTTATTTATAAAAGAATGTCCGTTGAGCACTAATTACCACCGCAATGTCTTGGGTATCTCTTTAATAATTAAGTGCAGCTTCACACGTAATTGGGCGTGACACACTCTCTGTCATTATTCCAAGTGTGTGTAGTATTACATAATTAATACAATTCGGTGCCACGCCCCCTTAATAAGTTTATAAATGCCTGATGGCAGCAGTTAGCCAGCAATTAGTTAACATGTATACCCAGCATGAAGCCGAAGCTCTGGAGAAACGCAACTATCACAGAATCAGAGAAATGATACGGGTCACATATACAGTGGGCTATAACATAATGAAGCCTACCTCGTGGGACTGCGCTTTAAAGCTGTGTGCACAATTCTAATCTCATCTCAAGTTGTATTTTTTTATAGATATTGTTCTCTGTTCTAATTGGTAGCTGGAGTTTGGTCCTCATAGGCAGCACTTTAGCATCCTACTATGGCCACTGGCAGCTGATTGCACACTACATTCAAGACATACCGCGAATTTCAGAGGTGGCCTTGGCCAGACCCATCCGCGCAATGTTAATAACGCATACAAATTGTTTAATTTTTGCAGAGCATTAGCACGGTTTTCCAGTCCCTGATGTCTGTTATGAAAATGGTGTACTTTCTGATGGCGCCGCGTAAATTCTACGTGCTGCTGCGTCGCGCCTGTCGGCACGAGCTGTTGCTAAACTGCGAGCTATTCGAAGCAGTGGCTGGTCTGGCATGCCTTAGCTAACTGGTATCTGATATATGTATCTATAACATTGTAATCTTGCAGATCTGCCGATTGCGAAACCGTTGCGTCAGCAAGTAGATGGCATCATGAATCAGTCTTGGATCAGCACGCGACGCCAATTGATGTTCTACCTGTTCAGCTGCATTGGCATCCTGTTGAATTACTTTCTCAATTCGCTGGTCGTCAATATCTATCACTACTTAACAGAGCCCGACAGCAACTTTGAGGTGACAATGCGTGAGTGCAACAACAGCAACTAAGCACATGGTTAGCTAGTTGAATAACTTTTATTAACATGTGCCAGCTCTGCCTTCGATGTATCCCAATTGGATGGACAAGGGCATGCGCTTTCCATACTATCATATACCGCTGTTCTTTGAGAGCTGCAACCTCTATATCTGCGGCATGGGTGGGTAGCAATTGGCACATGAAATGAAGTGAATTAAGTTGCATCAACATTTTGTGTTGCTTGCTTGCGCTTCAACAGGTGCTGTTAGCTTCGATGTGCTCTTCATCGTGCTCTGTCTGCATGGCGTGGGCCTCATGAAGTCGCTCAGCCACATGATTGATTGTTCCACCTCCCCGCTGGTGCCGCAGGAGCGTCGTTTGCAGTATATACGCTGCTGCATCTATCAATATCAGCGCGTGGCAGCGTAAGTTGAAATTTCCTCTGCCTAATACACTAATAGACTATGTGCTCATCTATTATATGCCGCCTCTCTCTTCCATCTGACAGCTT